CTTTGAAGATGACCTGATTGCGTTCGCTACCCTTTAGTCTTGAGTTTTAATTCCGAGACAATATATCGGCATCTCAACTATTCCGTTGGCGATTAGTCCAGTTGAAAAAAATCATTTTATATGAGATTCCGAGGTCAGCTTTTTGGACAGAATCAAATGGACTTGTCTTTAGTTTTTCAGCGTAATTTGGAGAGGCCATGGTCGCAGTATTGTTGCTCTATCTTCAACTTTTTCCGGTTCGAAATGCCTGAAGGACCTTTATTTCCATTTCTGTCTTGAGTAATCGGTTTAGTATGCTGTGAAAGGAAGTAAGATCCTCTAATACACTGTCGTCAGGTCTGAATGTATTCGGCTCAGACAAACACTGAATACCCAAACGCTGTTGGCCATCTCATTACTCTTTATTTCGTCTTTCTGAGTAATTCCCTGTATGAGAAGAACAAAGATTTACAGAATCCTCGCTCGAATTCAGTTTCCTTCTGCGGACTTTCAGTCCAGAGAAACCCACGAAGGGCGATTGTGACTTCAGACTCCTTTTTAAACATCTTTCTACCTCCCCCACTCATGAGGTCTTGTCTTCGCATTCAAATACGTTCCCCATAGAGCACTCAGTGTAGTTGAGAGAAGATGAGGTTTACAGTATTTTTTTTCTACCAAACTACCCAAAATACTACCAACTGTATTAACTTATTCAGGCGCTTTTTGCTGCCCAGCTCGATCCGTGGTGTATCCTTTTCTTTGGCAGTGCCCAAAGCCTGTGAACTAGCATAAGATACAACTATAACTATTTAACGTTTTCGTTTACATGGACTACTTGGAGGGCAGTTATTTGCCCTCGAGTTGACACGTCCCGCCTATTCGTATCCCAGTCACCCGTCGAGGGGGTGGTGTGATTCATGTATGGATGAAGCGCTCCCATCGTGCACATTTGATTATAGTACAGCATTCGATACTCAGTAGGTAATACGTTCTCTTATGATCGATATGTGTGGGGGAGAGTGAGAAGAAGTTGAATATCTGAAGCACTTTTCGGCGGCGGGAATCGAAGGGACAGACATGTTCAAACAGGTCAAGCAGGGTCGACAAAAATTTGACCAAGAGAGAAATAATGGGGGTTTTTGAAGAACTTTAAAGAGAGACAGCTGGGTATTGTTACGTGATTCGCAGCTTAAGTGCATATGGTTGTCCGTTTGCTAGTTGCTCTGCTAAAAAGTGCTCAGTTCTAAATGTCTGATGCGCAATGTAGCGCTCCACTTTGGTTTTGCAGTTGTGGATATCGTAGTAGAAAAGCAATCAAACTTCCAGGAGCTTATGATTTCCGGGCAAATCTTGTGGTTATTGCTTTTGCATGTAAATTTGTATTTGAGGGTTACAGACAGACTCTGTGATGATTAAATTGGTATAAGGTAATATTGCACATTACCACTTAGCCTAAAATTGCTTGCACTTGGCGTGTGTAGACATCATATTATAATATAATGGAAAAGCGATTGTTGCTTTTCATTGCGACTCGGTACGGAATTGTTGTTCAAGGAGGGCTGCGAGAAATCATGTTTCGAAAGACGTCCTCGTCAAGAATTGCATGACCAGGCTTTCTTTTGAATCCAAAGTTTTGTCGGCCTCTACCACCTACTTTGGCAACAAATTTCATGATCGTAGTACCGTTGGCTAAAGAAATATCTCCTATAGTCTGGTCGCGTGCGTTTTTTTGACACTCTGTAGATGACAGCATGGAGGAGTTGTGCATGTGAACTGAAATAATTCCTCCGGCCTCAGTAGGCAATCATGACCGACTGACTGACTAAGTTACGGCAGTCATTAATGTTTCGAGGTTCCCCTCTGGAAGGCCAGAATTCTCAGAAGAGCGGCGTTAATCTCAAATGAAACAATGCATATATTTTGTTTACGAAAATGGACCTAAAACAATTTATTATTTTAACTACATTGCAATTTTCATCAGCCTCGGCTTTGTCATCACTTCTGAACTTGCTCTCACTTTCACGTTATTTGGTCTGCTTTTTATACAATTAGACAAACGCTTAAGTTTGTCCACATGCTTTGGGGTGGATTGTGATTCAAGTTCTTTCCATAATAAACGGATCCTTAAGCGTATTTCATTAATTTTCGATACCATTTTGTCAGACGAGGATGTTTATGTGACTGATAGTGCTGACCGATAATGACTGACTGTTGAGGAGCTACATGTATTATTTCTTTCAATTAGTTCGGATCGGAATTCCGATTTCCCAAAAGAACAATATACAAGTCCATTGCCGATATTGCTGCCCTGAGGGCATCGACAGCTCCTCCTTATGAATTTAGACAAGCTCTTATTTCCTTTGTCGGTTTATATCCTGGGTCAAACTAAGATACTTTAACATGGTCGTCCTTTCGAATGAGCACCATAAATCGAACTTTCTCAAAATTACTGATGTTTTTAATCGAATAGAGATCCGTAAATTTTGGCCTCTGTGTAACATCCATCTATATCAAATGAGTCAAACTGAACCGATTCCAAGGTCTCCTTGATAAAATTCTTGATTACGAAGAGTGGAGGCTGATATTAAGACCTTCGGAATTTAGTAGTGTCAAATAAAGACACGGCAATACAACAGACATAGCTTCTGGAACTTGAGTAGGGCGACGGAAAACAGGAAGACGTAGTTCTCAAGGTGTTTTGGTGCAACGAGCGGATCGCACAGAGATATTCACTTCTGGTTTGATAGTAATCGTCACTCGGGGGTAAAAAATATCACCAAAGTTTCGAACGTGCGTCGTCAGGAAAGTGTAAAAATGACTTCGAGTTTGTAATTCCATGAATCGTTTTAAAAATTATTTGGAACCTTGGCAGTTAACTGGTTGCCATATTGCATACGACGTAATTATTGGTGAATACTTAGCCTTAGGATCATCAACAGTGTTTGTTAAATTTAAGGTCACGTATTCTGCTCAACTAATTCGTTTGCTCATGCGGAAATACGTTACATACGTCCGTAAACCGAGCTTATTTATTCAAAAGGGAGTTTCGCATTTTTCTGGCATTTCTGCCTTTTCAAGCAGTTATTTCAGGAAAAACACATATTACTTCTAACAGACATTTCTTTCCCTATAAACCGATGTAGTTCGTTTGCAAATGCGCGTGTTTATCGGCGCCCTAGATGTGCTTTTCAAACTATGGGAAATTCTAGTGAATTTACGCATAGTTTATAAGTTGTGCCATCTGCCGTACAACCTCGTCCCCATTGTATTGTGTTTGTAAGTACTGGCTCGTTTGTTCCTTTACCTGAAGTAGAACTCCACAGTAGATGCTAAAAAATATGATCAACCTTACGTCGAAGTGAAGGTCTTCGTTCTTCAGTCCGCGATTTTGGAAAAGACTCTTACAAAACCCTCGTTTTGAAATTATGACAGACATCTCGAATTCCCAGACAACTACTGAAAAGTGGTAAACAATGCTTCGTGAGCTGAGAGTACGAGAAACGAAAAAAGTCAAATATTCCTTAATAATATATTCATTAAGACAACGGATGGTTATCAGGAATATTTTTGCATTAATGATTTTTTACACCCTAAATCAAGTAACCGCTTATCTACGGGAGCGATTGCGGGAACGAGATAGGAGGCACATTAGAGCCCCTAATCTTTCGCGGCCTCCGGCGAGAAACCTTTGATTTTGGATTGGCGAAATAATGACTGAACTAAAGTCATACATGCAGTTCAACCCGACGAAATCGTAATTCTTTACTTAAAGAAGTTATGGGTGAATTCGGACATTGACTGGCGACGAATATTTTCAGGATCTTTTCGGCACCTTCGATTAAGCGGCAAATTTAAATAGGACACCGCAGCAAATGTTGCTTCACGATCACATCACACATCGCGGGAGAACTACATACATGTTTCGATCGGTTTTGGTTATCTGGGAACTGTCCGCACAGGCGGTAGCGTAACGCCAAGCGAACGATAGTCATGGGGTACCATAGGCATTTCAATTGGTGTACGACTTACTGATGACGGCAAGTAAGCCAGAAGTGGCCGTTTATGTATCCCTTGTCTGCCTTAGTGAGAAAGCTTGCGGTTTGGTTATTTAAATTCATGATGACGGCCGAAAGCGTTTCGATTTTGTATTGAGTTTCGCTCCTCAAAAAGTGGAGTTCACATGGGGTACTAAAACGTTCACGTGTTCGATTGCGTATCACACTCGATTAACCAGTCGGAACGCACACATTCCCTGCATGATTGCACGCCAGGATTCGAAGGTATTCCTATGGTTAATCATATGTCGACACTTCATTACTATCGGGGAACTTGACTATGAATACACCTTTAGCCTTTGGTATACGACAAAGTATTTTAAGGGAAGTTTTTCTGACATGTTCGATTGCGCTTGGAAGATCCTGCCTTTTGCCCGGAAAATATACCGAAAATGCCAGAATCGATTGTTAACGGCAACATTCGACGTCCCTTGTTTATAACAACTGAAATTTTGTGATTTGATGAAAAGATAGATGGGGCCGTAATTCATGATCCTGTTGAATATCCGAAAAAGAGTATCCTCAAAATATCCGTTACGTTGAAAGTTTAGCCATCAAATGTCCAGTTAGGAGGAAAAAGTTCTCAAAATCAGGCAAGTTTCTTTCAAGAGGAATTTTTGGGTAAGTTTGCTTAATAGTTTTGGGTCGGTGAAGATAGAATACTATTACACATTGAACAAAGTTATCTTTGATTGTCCTTAGTTTCTTCAATATCTGCGTCGGGACAGACTGTTCTGCCTGCGCCGTGGTACTGGGTCCTCACAGATCCGTCGGCTGCAACGACAGTGGTCCCCTTCTCTCGTAAATCTGCGCAGAACACCGCCTCCAACTGCTGAACACTTTCTTCCGCCTGCCTACGCGAAGGAAGACGACCTTACTGCACTCCTGCTAGTGGCCTTGGCAGCTGCTGGACTATGTTCTCGTCCGGCGGCAAGGTCGGCAGGATGTGATGGTGACTAAGGAGATATGCAAAGCTGGTGGCTGGACAGACCATCGCCTCGTCGTCTGCAAGATGAGACTCCATCTGTAACCCCACAGAAGGCCCACCATTCACACTTCGACATTCAGTTAGCCCAACACTCGGAGGAGGTGCCGGTCGCGGACGACGAAGCCACTATGGAGACTCGGTGGCGTCAAGTGTGGGCTGCTATCCACTCGACTGCTTTGGGCGTCTTCGGACGTGCAAGTCGCCAAAACCAGGACTGGGTCGATAACAACGACGGAGACATCAGTCAACAGCCGACTGAAAAGAACCGTCCTTGCAAAACCGACGTGAATCACTGGATTGCTGAGAACATGGTGGCCTTTTCCACTTTTATTGGACCGTGCAGCAGTAACTGAGGGAAATACAGGACTCCTGGACGATCCGCAAAGGCGGAGAAATCCAGGGATATGCTGACTACAATTAACTTAAGAACTTTTTCGCATCACTCAAGGCGATCTGCAGTCACTCCCCAAACCAAAGGAACCGCACCAATTCTTGGCTCAAATGGAACAACACTTCTGTCGAAGAAATCCCAGATTCTGAAGAGTTAAGCCGAGCACTTCAGAAGCGTTCTCAGCCGTCGCTTTACAATGTCCGACGCCGCCTTCGAACGACTGCCCCAAATGGAAATGAATGACGGCCTGGATCTGCGCCTTTTATCCTCGACATAATCCGTGCCATGCACTAACTGCCCAACAGGAAAGCACCGTGATCTGGCATAATTTCGACCGAAGTCCACAAACACAGCGACTTCCAGCTCATGGATCAAATCATAACGCACTTTCAACAGACTTGGCGCCACGAATAAGTCCCTCAGGATTTAAAGTATACGACAAGCGTTCGTCTCAACAAACGGAAAGGGAACCGGAAATTCTGTGACAACCACAGGGGAATCTCGCTGCTCAACATCGGCAGAAGCATTATAACTCTCACTATCTTCAACCATCGCAGTGACCATCTCGAACAAGGACTTCTTTTAAGAGGTCGCCATGACATTCGTCGTCCTTGTATATGTATATGTATATTGAAGGGTTACAGGCAGAGCCCTTGATGACCCTATTTATGTACAGTGCTTTCGCAGATTCATACTCAAAAATAAAATAAAATTGCAGGCATTTAAAATGTGTCTGGGTCACAGTTCAATCGTTATCATAAGGTAGTGCATGGGGTCACTGTAAATTAGTGCGGAAGATTGTATATGACAGATTTTACAAAACTGGCTGTGCATAGTTATGCTGTACAAGCCGATTTCTGTCGAAAACTAGACGAGCAAGTTTTCTTTTAAACACACAAACTGTGTCAGCCGTCACCATCTCGCTTGGAAGCGAGTTCCACGGCCTGACAACCCGCTGGCTGAATGAAAATTTTCGTCGGTCTAAACGTGTGCGCTCATTCCCGACTTTGTATGCATGGCCGCTTAGTTGGTTTGTGCGGGCGAACTCAAATAAGTCCTCTGCTCTTAATGAGCAACCCTGGCCGCGAACAATCCGGAACGTCCAGAGTAGACTGCAGTTTATTTGTCTATAAGAGAGAGGGAATAGGCCAAGCAAATTTAGCCTCTCCTGATAAGACAAATGCTTTAGACCGTCGACCATCTTTGTCGCTCTGCGTTGCACCTGTTCGAGTAAGTTGATATCCTTCCTCATCCATGGTGAAGCTGCTGGCATTCCATACTCTAGATGAGGTCTTACAAAGACACCAAAGAGTCTTTCGAAGAGTTCGGGAGGAAATATTTTAAAGGCACGTCTGATCCAGTGTAGAGTACTAGTTGCCTTCTGGACCATCTTTCTGCAGTGTTCTGATGGCGATAGATTTGTGGTCATCCATACACCCAGATCTCTGTGTTTTTCCACAGTTTGTAACCTCGTTCCGTCAATATAGTACTGGTGTTTGGGAGAAGCATTGCGGCCGGTGTTCAGGTGCAAAACCTGTGTGTCCAGCGGCATCGTTCCCGTCTGCAAGAGCAAAGCAAGGAAATTCAAACCTACATTTATACTCCATTCGTGGATTTAAAGAAACTCTGTAACACGGTGAATCGCGAAGGACTGCGGATAATCCTGCGGAAATTAATAATAATAATTATATTTAATGACAATTTACAGGGATTGTCACGAGAGCGTTAAACACAAATCAGGTCAACAGCGAAGAAAACTCTTCACAAAAAATTAAGAGGATCCCGATTTGATGGGATCCCGATTTGATGGGATCCCGACGGGTCTTTAATAAACAATTATCTATCTATCTATTTTGTATCGTTCATAGGGTTCAGGAGAAAAAAACTGCTGCTCATGAAATGACGACAGAAAATAAAGGGAGGGGTAGCACGGTATCAGATATTATCAGTGGCCAATTCCTTTCATGAAGTTGGGGCCGGACCAAACAGAAGCGCCGAAGAACAGCTGTCGTTGTTGGCTAAAGAAATGGTCTCCGGTGAGACCGGCCATAGTGATCAGAGACCACAAACGCCATCGCTACGGTATAGTCGATCAGTGGATTCAGCACCCAAAATTTGTGGAAGTTTTTCTGATTGCAAATAACGAGTAATAGTCCCCTTAAGCATAATTCAGTATAATTCAGTATATATGAGGATAGAGGCAGAGCCTAGAAAAACCCTATTCACAGATAGACCTACGGAAAAAACATGCAGATATTTGCATAACAGTTATGCCAGTCATTGATATCCTTTAAAAGTTTGACCATCAAGCATAAGTTCGTCCAGTCTTCTTTTGAAGGTCTCAAAGTTTTCCGCTAAAACAACAGAGTTCGGCAATTTGTTCCATCCCTCAACCAGCCGGTAAGAGAAGAATTTGGCCCGCAAGTCGGGTCTTGCATGTTTCGTCTTCAATTTGTATGGGTGCCCTCGGGGATTTGTCATCCGCGCCAGTTCGAAGAAGTCGTCAAACTGAAGAGCACAGTCTAGCCCTCGGATGATCCCGATGGCCATGATCATGTCCCCTCTGTACTGTCTATAAGAGAGAGGGAATATTTTTAGCTTCTCCAGTCGTCTCTCATAAGGTAAGCTACTTAATCCGCCGACTAGCTTGGTCGCTCTTCGTTGTACGTTCTCCAGTAGGGTGTAATCTTTTTTCGTCCAGGGACACCATGCCTGGACATAATATTCCAACATTGGTCGGACCTATGCGCAAAATACTCCGCCGAAAAGTTCTTCATCAAAATTGACGAAGGATCTTCTAAGCGCGCCTAGAATACCCATAGTTTTCTTTGATACCTTGGCGCAGTGAGACGATGGTTTGAGAGTTGACGTCATCCACACACCGAGGTCTCTTAACTCGTTGACTGATTCGAGTTGGTGATCTATAAAGTACTGAGATTTAAATCTCAACGGCCTCCTGTTGCTCGAACGTAATCGGTTAAGTTGACATTTGTTACAATTTAGGCTAAGACACCACTCATCACACCACTTTTGCAGGCGATTTAGATTGTCTTGTGACTGTACAGAGTCTTCCGGCTTCTCTATTGATTTCCACAACTTGAGATCGTCGGCAAACATTACTCGCTCGCAGTTCAGACAGTCCAGGCAGTCCTTCACATATATTTATAAAAGAAATGGACCCAGAATGCTTCCCTGCGGAACGCAGCTGTGCACGGTTGCTCATTCCGATTTAACGTTTCCAATATACACACGCTGAGATCTGACCGTAAGAAAATCGGCTAGCCATTTCAAAAGATTTCCATTCACACCCACTTGACGTAGTTTACATATAAGTCGCCTGTGTGGAACACTGTCAAAAACCTTTTTGAAGTCAATGTACACGGCGTCGACTGATAAGCCCATGCCGATTGATTTCGTTTATCTTTCCATGGATACTAGGAGGTTAGTGAGACAGGATCGACCCCTTCGAAATCCATGCTGATGTTAACTGAGCAAGTTGTCTTCTTCGGGGTGCCGCATCAACTCCGTTTTTATTACTTTTTCTATCAAATTGCAACAGATGCTTGTGAGACTCACTGGTCTGAAACTATTTGGGGCTGTTCTCTCGCAACCATTATAGATAGATAGATAGATAATTTTTATTAAAGACCCGTCGGGGTCCCATCAAAGCAAGTTAAAATAAATTTGCATGCGAGATTTAGACGAGGTGGGCTGAATCTTTACAAAATGCAATTCATAGTTTCTGAATTAGAAGTCCATTGAGAAACATGATGATTGAGGGGTGAAAAAAAACTCCTCGGAAAAAGTTAAAAATGATTGGATTAATTTTACAGAAGAAAAAACCCCTCTTTAAAAATAGTAACAGAAAAAAGCGAGCAGGACTGGCCTGTAGGTGGCGGTATATAACGGAATGTTGTCGGTCATCGTCGGGGTATCAATAAATGTCCGCCTTGATGGGTACGAATGTGGGTTAGACAGGACTGGCTTGCAAATGGCATTGTATACGGGATTCACAATTGAGATCGTCTGGGCCGGATTGGTACGCCGCGTCAAAGAGGCCAGACGAGAGGAACAGAGATGCGATCGGCCACAGCACGCTTCGAGCTCAGCCGAGCAGTGAGGAAGGGAGGTTCGACCGAACTTCTAGTAGACAGTGAATACTGAGGGTTCCGCTGTGAGCGTCGACAGACCGCATGAGGTCGGAATGCGGGAGATGACATCAAAAACCGCGAAAATTGTCGCTATGGGGGGAAGGATAGCGATGGATTTACAAACCAATTCAAAACAGGGGTTTCTAATGATATAATTAAGAGTTACCACTTAATCTACCACTAAATCCCAGGAGGACCCTTCTCGAAGTCCAGAATCTGAGTGTTCGGGAATGAGACCATTAACAGTGCCTTTATGCTTTCCGGTGTAAGATGGTTGCGTAATTTCGACTTGAATATCAGTAACCTAGGCGATAATCTAATTTCAGGCGGAAGATTATTCCAAAGGAAGGCATATTTGGAAGCAAAGAAGAGGGAGCGCTTAGATGTAGTACAAAGAGGCGGCGGAATCACCATGCAGGAGTTGCGCGTGGCATAAGACCGATCTCTCGGAGTGAGAGTGTCAATGTGCGAAAGACTGGAGCAGAGTTGATGCGAAAGAGGAAGCAAAGGCCAGCTTCGAGTCTTCTAACCCACAAAAACTTCATGTTCGCCAGCTGACATCTCTGAGTATAAGAAATACTGGACGAAGCTTGAGAGAACAGTTTCCGAGTGAAAACCCTCTGA